CCATGAGAACGACACCCATGACGATATATTCATAATTTTGTGCAGACGCCATCTTGGATTTACATTTTGACAACACCATAGGTTTTATCACCCTCGAAAACCATGAAAAGGACACCCATGACGATAAATTGAAAAATTTCGTACAGCCGCCATCTTGGATTTACAATTTGACAGGACCATCGGCTTTATCACCCTCGAAAACCATGAAAACGACACCCATGACGATATATTCAAAATTTTTTGCAGACGCCATCTTGGATTTACATTTTGACAACACCATCGGTTTTATCACCCTCGAAAACCATGAGAACGACACCCATGACGATATATTCATAATTTTGTGCAGACGCCATCTTGGATTTACATTTTGACAACACCATAGGTTTTATCACCCTCGAAAACCATGAAAAGGACACCCATGACGATAAATTGAAAAAATTCGTACAGCCGCAATCTTGGATTTACAATTTGACAGGACCATCGGCTTTATCACCCTCGAAAACCATGAAAACGACACCCATGACGATATATTCAAAATTTTTTGCAGACGTCAGCCCTGTTCGTTTCCATTTGCTGATTTACTTTATCCAAGTTTTCGAAGATATTATTCATAATAGCTAGTCATTAAATTGATTAATTACTAGTCATTACGAATAGTATCAAATTAATCACTTTGGCTGTAACATATGTATATACATTTAGGTCAAACTGATACTCCTTTTTTAAAGTCGGTTAAAAAAGAATCATCAAAATACGTTAAAAAACGACGAAGTCATCCCTGAAGGAACATAAAAAAACCTTATAGGTATATAACTTTTCCTTTTTTTTAAGTCCGTTATAAATAACAAAGGTCTGGGGTTCATAGGCTCTTGTACTATATGGATTGTCAAATTATTATTTTTTACGGCAACGCTGGGGCTAAAAAAATATTAAAACATTACAATAATAATTTTCCAAATTATTTAGATAATAAATAACTATTAAAATAATATTGTTAATAATTAGATATTGATATTAAATACTTTTTTATATTATCTCCTTATTTCTATAAAATAGTATGCATGTAATTTGTACTATTTTAATACTGGCATATAATATGTATACTTTTTGCTTGATAAAGAAAAGAAACAAAAACAAAAATTTGAAATGTCAAAATTGTAAAAATTTTTGCCAAAAATATTTTAAATTATTTAATTTAATAATTTGTGATGGGATTTTGTGATTGTTTTTCTAAAAAAGGAAGTTCTGCGATGCTTGTTGTGTTTTCTATAAAGGACCTTTTGTATACACGTGTATCACAAATCACAAAAGTACATTGTGTTTGTTTGTCTATTCATTGGACTTGATTTTACAAAGGAACGCTTTAATTTGCGTATATATCTTATTTATAATAAAGAACATCAATACGAAGAATACAATCATATTGCTGAAGGTAAAACCTACAACAAGTTTATGATTTTTGCTATTGAACCTATTTATACATTTTATTTGATTCATTGAGATACCAAACTATGTAGTTTTTATAAATTTCTACTTTTTCTTTTGTATATTTGTTACAGTGATATTTGGAATTGCTATTGCATCGATATTACTTCAGCATCATCATTGCAGAATATCAATAGTGCAATTTTTTATCGGCAGTTACGAGTCTTACGATGTCCGGATAAAGTGCCGATCTATACCAGCAGTGCTTGAAACCTATTTTAGAGATGGTAAATACTATATTATTCTTGTAACATCAGTAATATCACGTAAGGTACACCTACCTTAGATAAATAAAAGAAAACAAATAAATAAAATACATATTTCTGCATGTAAAAATAATCTTTGTTTTTTTTTTCAGGTACTATTTGGAATTATTCTAACATTCAGACGTATATTGTTGTCTCAAGAAACAAGAAACCCATAGATCGCTGCAAATATTAAAGCCGTATTATTATTGTAAAACTATTTTTATCTTTGTATTAATGTATATATCATAATTAGAACGACATTTTAAGTACCTACGCACAACAAAGTAATATTAAATTATAAATAAACTAAAATAGGTACATATTCACACCTTAAAAAAAATGTTACCTTAGGGCAAAAAATTTTTTTCATCGCTATCGTGGAGTAGGGTACCCAACTGACAGCATTATTCTAGGTTTTACTTATTTGTATTCATATATGTAGAGGTCTCTCCTTCTTGGGCTTGACCTGGTGAAAATGGGCACCGCTTCCCGCAACCCGCAGGAAAAACGATGCTCATAGCCCCTTCTAAATTTGACTTATAAATCCTTCTTTCTCTTCTGCTGACTACTTGACTACTAACTGGGTGTAGTTTGTGTGCCAGATGTGGATTGTGAGCTTCATGTGGTGGTTGACTGAGTGGTATGTGGTGTTTGCGCTTGAGATGGTTGTAATTGATCGGAATCTGGAATGTATGTGACGAAAACTGTGTCTCCTAGTACTTTGCTAAGAATGATTATTGTGTGAATGGTGGCTAATGTCTATTTATGTTTTTAGTTTGTCTGTGTATCTGCTGAGGCTTTTGGCTAGTACCTACTCCTGTGGCTCCAATTACTATAGAATTAACATGCGTTTCAATATATCAAGGCGTCTAGCCTTGAGTTGTGTTTTAAAAAGGGGTATTTACTGAATTTCTTTTGCTCCTATGTCGTAGTTACATGGTACAGTTATGTCAAAGAGGTATGTGGTGTTGGATGTTTTGTTTGTGTATATTATGTCCGGTCTGTTGTGGGCAACTGTGAAGTCTGTCGGAATTGGGATTTCCCACATTATTTTGCCTGTTTCATTTTCATTTGTATTTATAATAATAATATTACTTTGTTTCATTATAATGTTATAAAAATATTATATTTGAGGATAGGAAAAATCTGTAGTTGTTTAGTAAAAATGACTGTAATATAACTAGATATAGGAAACGACTAAGTCAGGCATTATTAGCAACTAGCAAAAAAAAAGTACTAAAAAACTGAGACTGACTGAGAGGCAGACTGAGACTTATTTTTAAGCACTATATTTTTCGACATTATAATAATAAGTGCGACGGCAAGGGGTCTCGGGTTCGATACCCGGGTCGGGCAAAGTATTACTGGGTTTTAAAAAAATCTTAGTAGTAGTAGAGTAGTCTGGAAATGTGCCCGGTATATGGCAATAGGCTCACCCCCTATTACATGGGACTTATAACATAAATAGTAAAAAGTGGATGTTACATTGTACAGTGGCATTGAGTGCCGAAATGTGCACCTCTGCCTAACCCTTCGGGGATAAAAAGGCGTGATGTTATGTATGTTATGTTATGTAAATTGTATAATAATTTTGTGTTTTTGTAAATACTGTAAGCGATTTAAATCGATGGTAAAATGTACTACGTTTGTGTAGGTATTACGGTTAATTTATTTCATTAGATTGTTAACTACTGTTAGGTACTGTGTAAACAACGGTGAACAGTAAATATTTTTAATTTTAGTTCTTTGTGGGATCAATAATTAAAAAAATAACTAATTCAAATAAATTTTGAACGACATATTTATATCTGAAATTTGTAAACATAAAATTAAAAAGAACTAAAATTTGAATTATACTTTGAACAAATCTGTCGTCTGATATTTCCCTACTAGCTGATAATTTTTATATGCTAATTTGTATTTACTGTAAAATAAATGTAATATTGTAATTAATAACTTCTTTAATTTTGCAGCTACCAGACATAGCTAATTCCAGTATTACCTTCAATGTACCAACCTGCAAGGTGCATTGTTGGTAGTATTGGCATTAGCTATACTTAGGATTATCTGTAGACATTAGTAAAAAAAAAATGTACTAGGATTCAATTTTCAGATGGCGTTTCAAATTGATTGGCATAAATTTTGACGAGTGGCAACTCTTTACCCCTATACTTATTATACTCTTTGAAATTCTCTAAGTGTCGCTGACAGTTGACAATTGACAAATTTTCCAAGTCCAAACTATAGAGATTTTTTCTAAGTGTTTAATACTTTGTAGATCGCTTCGAAATCGGGCATAGATTCGACGTCTGGTCGTTTTTCTCGAAACTATTCTAAGTCCCTGATCGAATGCACGCGAATTTTTCTAAGTCCCTAGTTTTAATGATTTGAATGTACTCACAGTTCTTTGTCCACAATTTATTATGCACTTCATTTCACTACTACGAAGTTCAACGATGATTCCCGATGTATGTCCTCGGCAGCTGAGCACGTAGTCTTCCACGTGTGGTATTGTTAACCGACAACTATCACCATCTCGTATCAATTAGCACAACTATATTTAATTGTATGTGTTCTTCCATAAACACCCTTCGGCTCGACTGGACCATGAACAGTATCGGCCGAAAGTCCTTTGGAGCCTATTACTTGAAATAATACGAAGTACCTCAGAGCAAGACAATTTATTTACGTCAAAGCAGACAACCTAATGTTTTGCCGGTAACGAAACCATAGCTTGAATTTAAATCGGCCAACGCCATCTATCGAGCTATGGGACAACACAATAAATAGTAGTATGGCGTTGGCCGAGTGCATCTTTTAAACAGATTATTTCTACACTGAACAATAGCCATATTCACCAATTATCTCTTAACTAAGACTTAGCTTGCGGTAACACCTATACCAAACCCTTATCATCATCGATAAGTTGTTAAGTGTCACTTAGGTTAGAGTTCCTTAAAATTTATAATAAGTTGGAGAAAACGAATTTTATTGAATAACTAGCTACTTCCGCGCGGTTTCCCACGCTCTGCTTAACTCCTATTGGTCGTAGCGTGATGTTTTATAGCTCATAGCCATCCTCGATAAGTGCTCTATCCAATACAAATATAATTATTCAAATCAGACTTGTAGTTACGGAGATTGGCGCGTTCAAATAAACAAACAAAAAACAAAATCTTCCGCTTTATATAATAGTATAAGATTTACTATAATAACAACCAAAAGATGTACAACAATGATTTGCTAATTTACTCCAAATATTTCCAGGAAAGTATCAACAGCGAGTAACGGAATGTCAGGTTTGGACAGTGAGAGCGACTCCCACTTCGGCTCCCCCCCTCGGGAGCTGCCCTACGAGGAGAACAAGTTCGGTACCCCGGTCGTGCCTGATTACACGTGAGTACACTTTGTACTTTATTAGCTGGTGATTGGCAGAGTAGAAAATGTTTTTCACTACCCTTGCTCTTCTCGTGGGTTTTATAAAACTAAGGGACTAGACATTTGTTAGAGACTTCACAGTAATGGTCTATGATAAAATCAATAACTATAACAATAATTATTTCATTCTAATGTAGACAATGTAGTTTCCTTATGGCATCGAGCATTTCTTTATTGAAACAAAGAGTTTCCTTTTCTTGTATAGAAGCACTATTTTTATGGATTGTCAGTATGCATATGTGAGCACCATGAAAGACTATAAGATTTTTTTATTTTAGTAAGGTTTGTAATTAGTACCTATAATGCGTCAAGCATGTCTTTGCATTGTTCTCACCTATACATACAGTATTGGAATATGTATCAGAGACAGTAGAACATACTTTTTTAAAAAGAGTAACGAATGGAGTTTCTTTCTTGTTCTTCTCCATTCGAATCTACATTTTGGTATGAGCTTCACCTAGCTTCACTGACGGACTGACTGACGGACTATTATTTATTTTGTATTTGTTGACGTTTCAAAAGTACCAAATTATGGTTTAATTGAAATAAATGCTTTGACTTTTAAGTTAAATGTCTTTTACAGTCTCCGCATCGGCCGCCTGCCGACCTGGGCCAAGAAGAGTCTGGGAGACGACGCCAGTGCCGGGGACACGCCCGCCCCCGACCCGCCCGCCCGGGGCAAGTGGGCCACTAGGATCAATCCTAATACTGGTAAGTCTATTACCTATCTAACAACATAACATCACGCCTTTTATCCTCGAAGGGGTAGGTGCACATTATACCACTGTACAATGTAACACCCACTATTCACTAGTTATGAGTCCCATGTAATAGGGGGTGAGCCTATTGCCATATACCGGGCACAGTTCCAGACTCCGTGCTACTACTGAGATTTTTTTTAAAAACCCAGTAATACTTTGCCCGACCCGGGAATCGAACCCGAGACCCCTTACCCGGCAGTCGCAATTGCGACCACTCGGCCAACGAGCCAGTCAACTCTATCTCTAGTCTGTTATTCATGTCCCTGGGACGCGCCGGACTTCAGTGTTCCGGTGTTTTCATGATTGTATCTTCAGTAGATCCTGGCTTACAGGAGTTGCAGCGGTTTTGGGAGGTTGTGGCGGGCTTGTCCAAATAAAAAAAAAGTATTGTCTAGCTAGAGTTTTTGCCATAAATATTATTGGAAGCAAGTATAACAGCTCACTGAAATTGAATGTCGTGGTGGCTCGGAGGTTTAAGACGCCCGCTTCTCATGCATGAAACCTACCAACGATAAGTACCAATGTGACTTTTTCCGAGTTATATGTACTTACTAAGATTATTTAGACACCACTGACAAACGGTGAAGGAAAAACATCGTGAGGAAACCTAAGTTTATAATTTCTAATTATAAATTTGAAATCGCCAACCCGCATTGAGCAAGTGTGGTGATTAATGCTCAAACCTTCTCCGTGTGAGAAGAGGCCTTTGGTCAGCAGTGGGCATTTATAGGCTGTTAATGATGATGGTGTAATGGCATTAGACTTATTATCAGGTGATCCGTCTGCTCGTTTACCGGCTTATACCTCAAAAAACAAATCAATCTTCCTTGTGCGTACTGCTAAGCAGTGGAATTCTTTGCCAGAGTCTGTATTTCCTGAAGGGTATATATAACCTGGGTGTCTTCAAGGCTCCAGTGAATAGGTTGCTTATGGGACGACGTGCTCCATCGTAGACCGCATCATCACTTACCACCAGGCGAGATAGTGGTCAAACGTCAGTCCCATCTAACGTGACGAAACGTGAGTGTGTATGTATGTCACTGAACTTCTCTAAAACGACTGGACCGATTTTGATGAAATTTTTTGTGTGTGTTCAAGGGGATCTGGGAATGGATAAAAAAAAGGGATCTGGGAATGGTTTAGATTCACAAATCAGCCCGGCAGTTGGCGCTGCAGTCGATGTTAAGGTTATTTATCCTAAACATCTGAACTAATTTGAATGAATGTTTGTTTATACATTCAAGTGGATATGCAGGACAACATCTGTCGGGTCCGCTAGTAAAAAAAAATAAAATTTTATGCTTTTTTACAGAAAAACGTGGCGACTCAGACGGATCTAAAGACAGTTCGTTGGACAGCGGTACCGACACTAGATACATAGACAAACGGAAAGATCAGACCGGAATCAAACAGGTTAGTTATATATATATAAATATATGTTTGTAGATGTAGTGTAGAGATTTGTAGCCAAGTGATGTAGAGGGGATGGAGTTTTCTTTAAATTAATTGAAGTAGTGTTTAGGAATAACTGTTCGAGCGTGCTCGTATAGTTTCGGGTTACACCGGGGCTCATAGGTATAAACTACTTTCATTAATTGAAAATACATAAATAGATTTATATCAGATATTTTATATTATCGGTTTGGACGACAATTTAGGTTGTTTACGAATCGCGTCGAAAGAAACTTCCATACACATCTCTACTCTGGCTATTTATCTTTAAAATAGTGACTATGAGACATATATAACGTCTGAATTATTCTCGTAATAAAAAAATATAATTATATTTAATTTCAATATTGTTTACATGGTCACTATATATTTATGTGAGACACACGCTGAATATACATTGAGGTACTTCTAAACGGGTTTTATTTTTGAACAATATTAGGAAGTAAATGCTAGTTAAATACCGAAGATATTTGCATAAATGAACGGGATGTGAATCGCTAATAATCCACAATCCCCTCAAAAGGCCCGCAATGCACTTGCAACGTGGGGGTGTGTGTGTTAACTGTGGTTCGAAACTACTTTTTAGGTTAATTTAGTATGTCTCACGATAGTTATTATAAAACATTTTCGTTATCTAACGAATAATATTTTTTTTACTCAATCCAATGTACGAGAAAATTTAAGTGACACAAACCAAAATTTTAATCAAAGAAATTATAACTTCTATTTCTTATAAGTTAAGGTCGAAATTTCCAAAATATTACGAATATATTACAAAACCATTATATATACCTAGTATATTTAGCGTGTGTTTAGTAAATAACAATAATATTAAAGTACGTGTATCACTCATACGGTGTGCGGTGTGGTGGTAGTTTGTTTGTCACATATATGTGTTATATATTATGTAATGTTAATGGCAAAAGTTGAGTTACATTTTAATAGATACATATATTTTTTGTAATTATTTCGATGGTAAAATGGTCGAAAATATGGCTCGGGTTGCGAGTGAAGTGAAATAAGTTACCGGGGCTTCGGCTCTATAGTAGGCCGGAGTAGGAATGGGGTGGTGTTTAGTCAGTAAGAGTCTGACACTCCCTCCCGCTTCACACAAGCTGTGAGGAGCCATTGGATGATTTTCGCCCTCAGAAAGATTCCCCCCCCCCTTTCCCAATATCTAAATCCCCAACAATTTTCAAATCCCAACCCCAAAAGGCCGGTAACGCACTTGTAACACTCTGGTGTTCCAGGTGTCCATGGGTGACGCCGATAGCTTACCATCAGGTGATTCGCCTGCTCGTTTACCGGCTTATGCCATAAAAATAAACATTTCTATAAGTCAAGTTTATTAACAGTACAACCTTAGTACAAGTATGTTTTCCGTTTAAAGTAATCGGTACGAGACCGCGTTCGGCGCCCTGATTGCTTGGTTCTTTGTAGCCGGCCAATCAGAGCGCATAACGCGGTCTCGTTTCGTTTAAAGTGAAACAAATAAGTGAAACAAGTGAATTTATTTCTGCAAATTGGCTACAAGGCAGCACTTTTACGCGTCAATTTTATCAAGCGAACGATGAGGCCGACATTTCCTAACTGACTACTCTGAGAAGAAATGCCGAAACAAACTCAGAGGTCTGTCTCTTTTAAAGTCCAGACAATATGTATAATAGATTATTTGTGAGAACCGTGCAAGTACTTTCTGTAGTGGCCTTTTGAGGAAAGAACCACAACAGTTTGAGCGGACCCGTTCTGAAGGCAGTACGCATGTGTCGGTTTACAGTCGAAACATGTCAACATGACCTGTGTGGACGTTACAGCAGCTTATTCCCAAGCCAGACTATTATCTAGGTAGTCTTTTATTTTATAAAAAGCTTTACTATAAAGTTTATCACGTAAACGTGAAACTAATTCATACTAAGGGCTCAGGTAACTGAGACCGTTTATTAGGGAGTTTTGGGTTCGATCCCGGTTTAGGTAAACGTGTTCACACAGTAATAGGTGCGTTGCTTATTACAGTGGGACAAATAAAATGTTATTTTGTAAAATTAAAAAATGTTTTTAACGACTTTTGCTGTTGACAGTACCTAATATTTATATTATGTTAAAATTCTTAAGAAGTATGATGAAGTTTCTTTGGTGTATTATTTTACATATGAATGTGATATTTATATTTTTATCGCAATTTTGCAGTTAATATCCTCTCGCGCGCTTCTCGTACACACGGGTAAATATTTTAATAGAAAAGCGAATTTACTATTCTGTTCAAGCAAATAAAGAAGGGGTTGCAAACTTGAAAATATACGTCACAGAAAAAATATCCAATCGGTGCGCGTTTCTCGTACACCCGTGTGTACAATTACGCGATGAGCACTCAACTCTCTCGTACACACGTGTGTACGAGAAACACGCGAGAGGATATCTTCCTAAATGAAACTCCATCATATTTATTTTTTTATTTTTAAACGTTTTTTCTTTTTGTATGTTTTTGGTGAATGGTGTACTGGTGTCATTTTTCTTTATTTTTACCCTACTCCTGATTTTTTATTACTAAAATTTTGATTTTAACTACTGTATAAAATTTTAAGATTTGGTTTTCCCTGGTTTTGGTTTTTACTTACAAATGAAGTATGTAACTTTAGTTTTTGGTTTATATTGAAATATTAATATAAATAACCAATATTTACTAAATAGATTTTGAGACCTTCATAGAAAAAATGTCTGACATCGATATTAATATAGACATTTTGGCTGTAATCTAGGTAGGTCCACTCAGAGCTCGATATGTTTTCGGCTTATGCCGGAATACTGAAACGTTACTCAATTTTAAGTCGTGCTCAAATATCGTGCCATCTCTGTCATTTTACAAAGAATTTGTAGAGATAGAACTATACTTAAGCACAACTTAAAATTGAGTAGCGTTTCAGTATTCCGACATCACTCACGTAACTGTTTGTCGAGGCACTCGACTAGTTTCAAGCCACGCTAGAGACAGTCGCCGCGTCGTATCGCGGAATACTGCTCATGAATATGGGCCTCTAGAATGGCTTGAAACTAGTCGAGTTCCTCGTCAAACTGTTACGCGAGTTCGTCAAAGACCTAATAAAATTAATTTAGTATGTCTCACGAAGGTTATAATAATAACAATAGATCATTTTTTTTACGTTTATATAATCTATGACCAATCTCACAATTATCAATTTTTTTTTTGAAAATGGGTAAAAATAAACAAAAAAATCGAACCATACCATTTATCCTGGTGTTGGTTGCAATAGAGGCCGAAATCGCTCAACTTATCGCAACTGCCTCGTGTCGAAGCGTTATTCCGAAATTTCGACGCGACCATGAGGAAAACCTACGATATTCTTACCATATCGCCAAGGGTCGAAAAGGTTTTTTTTCAGTTTGTTTTTTCGCTTTTTTGTGATGTTTTTTTGTTGATTAGTTTCATTATTTAAAATTCATTTATTTTGTGTCTTGCAGTGTCATTATAAAGGTCATATTTGCTCGTCATCTTTAGAAAATCATTTTTTCTTTTTTTTTTTTTGTTATGTACCGTGCATATATGTAATGTCTTGCAATGTCACATGTATTGTCCTGAATATAAAGTTCATTATCGCTCGTCATCCGTAGAGAATATTTTTTTCTTTTTTTCATTTTTGCATTTATTTTTGTGATGTATCGTGCATATTGTAATGAATATAAGGTTCATTTTTGCTCGACGATAAATGTAATGCTGCTCTTTTGTTGTATGTGTTGTCAAGTTTGGCTTGTGTGATGTTATCATATTCATGCATTTTGGTCATACGAAGTAACTATACATAGTATTGTTTGGACATTTTTTATGGTATAGACTGGCAAGCGAGCGGACGGATCACCTGATGGTAAGCAATCGACGCCTGGAACACTAGAGGAGTTGCCAGCCTTTAGATTAGGAGAAGATTTGTAGTAGATCATTTTTAAACCGTAAATTAGGCTTGGAGGTAGGTCTTTCATACGAGTTCAACAGTTTTGTTGTAACTGACGGTTAATCACAGTGTCGTCCGCGTAGGTATAGTAAAAAGTTAAAAACGTAGCCTTTATTATTCTCCTGTTTTTTACCGGCATACTAAAATCGCTCCATTGTCACGCGACTGAAGTATTTAAGGTTCAGCTCACATCGAGATGCAACGCGCTGACTCAAAATACACTTTATTTTCTACACGAAAAGATACACATTTTATTATGCGATTAGTTTCCTCCGGTTTCGTCGCGTCTCGGTCTGAGGCCTTAGTACCAGTTTGTTTTACGTATAAAGTAATAGTAACGAGTACGCGTTCGGCGCTGTGATTGGTTGCTTCATTGGTGCCGGCCAATCAGAGTGCCGAACGCAAACTCGTTTCGAATACTTTAAACGTAAATTAAACTCGTACTAAGCTCTGAATTGACCACAAAAAAGTAACAAAAAACACATTTTAAAAATCATCGTCTTCATTTAATATGGTTAAACATAAAATTTTTACGTTCCGAGGTAAACAAACATGAAATTTTTCATATTTTTTTCAGCACCTGCATGATATTTGCATGTATTTTCAGGCTTGTGTTTGCTTGCTTATGTGCTTGTCTGTATGTCTGCTAATACATAATGTGTGTTGTTAACATATTGTTTATTGATTCCGTTAATAAATTAAAATTAAAAGTTAAGTTTATTTTGTTGCATGTTCCGGGATAAGAAGTACCCTATTATTTAATCCGGACTTCTAACTTTACGTCTGTAAAAATTCAAAGCAATCGGTTTAGTAATTACGGCGTGTAAGCGGAACAAACAAACAAACTCGCTTTCCGATTTATAATATTAGTAAGGAAGCAGGATTTTATACTATGTAGTGATTGTTTTTGACTTTATATATTTACTAACGGAATCATTTTGTATTTTGCTTATTTTTTCGCAATTTCACATGCATGTCTGTTGTTGAAGTATTATAATGTTTTTGATAGATTTTCTAGTTTAGCGATTTTCAAAAGCGCATCTCGCCATCAAACGTTAAAGTTTGACGGGTATTTAAAAACAGCTTAGAGTTTGGCTAACTTTAAATCAGCCATAATAGTTCGGAGTGTTGGTTTTCGAAACCATCATTTTATACGCACCTACATTTTATACGTAGAAATGACGTTTTAGCCCCCACTCCTAAACTTTGATTCGTTTTATCCAAGTATTGTTTTATTATACGAAAAAATAAAAAAAAATACGTGTCTAATATTTTTTCATTACCTAACTGACGGACTAATTAGATTTTTAATTTTCATACCCTGTCATCATCCCAATTGTATTGAAACAGGCACGTTCCGCCCTTGTGTCCCGGGACCTAAGTTGTTCAGTAATTAGTTCTTTAATCATCAGACATGGGTCGAATTGATTGCATAAATTTAGTCAGTATCTACCTATTAATTATGCATAAGTAATACTAATCTATCAAAAACATAATTATACTTATTTTTTTTATATTTTCTTTTATTTAAGTTTTGTTTTTTTTTTGTTTTGTCAACGTTAGGTTACGATTAATTTGTCGAAAATTCGCACGCCCGAGGCGCGGACGCGACACCACACCGACGATTCTTCGCTTGGCAGTTTTAAATATGAGGTGTGATATTTTTTTATATATTTGGCTGGTTTGTGTATTAATTTTATTAATTGTTTTGTTATTAACTCAGTGTAGTTAACTAAGGTATCAAATTTAATGTAAACATGTGTGAATTTGTTTTACGTAGTAATCGAAATGAGACCGCGTTCGCCGCTCTGATTGGCCGGCTTCAATGAACCAACCAATCAGAACGTCGAACGAAAAAAACTTGAGAATGAATATCAAGCTTAAGAGCTTATAAAAATGGCTTGTCATCTAGAAATGGAAATACCTACCCCGATAGAATGCAAACTTGGGGCAGATTTTTCTTTGATTATAAATTGCTACGTCAAATATGACAAGTTTGTGACTATTGGTCCCGTATATATACGGCATCCCATTATCTCTTTCTACCTCGATGAGAAAATGGCGTGACGATGTCAGCCGATGACTAGATACCGGCCTAAACATATATTTTTTTAAAAGAGTAATGAATGGAATTTCTTCTACATTCGAATCTACATTTTGGAACGAGTACTATACTACAGTGAAGCTAGCACTCACGGACAGACTGACAGACTATTATTAATTTTATATTTGTTGACGTTTGAAATGTACCAAATTATGGTTTAATTGAAGTAAATGCTTTGACTTTGTCTTTATCTGGAATTCATTGGCGGAGGCCTATGTTCTGTAGGACATTTTGTAGTGATGACAGTAATGATTTTAACATCTTGTGATCACTCGTATTTTGTTCTGATGCAGGATCAGGAGTCAACGGAGCACGACGGTGACATCGAGGACATATCTGACGGAGAGAGGACCTCGTCCTCGGAGCGAGGGAACAGACCTACCTACTATCCTGGCAACAATGATGATGAGACGCCTGGGTGAGTTGTGATTAGAAAAATAATGACTTTTAGATTTTTAGTACGTTTTTGTTTTAAACCATCGTGTGTCGTAACGCGAGACACAATGCATTTTCTGTTGTTTTCTTTTTTATATTTGATGGGGCGACATTTGACTGCTATCTCGCCTGGTGGTAAGCGATGATGCGGTCTACGATGGAGCACGTCGTCCCATAAGTGTCTTATACATATACCGTGCAGTCAGAACAAATTTCCGTGCGTTTAGGCGCTTTTGCCATACCTATTATTGGAAGCAAGTATAACAGCTTACACATAGGACCCACTTAGTTTTTAGTCAAATTTCCGTGGTGCTTGGCGACTGGGCAGTTGTACAGTCTATTCTTTGTGCCTTTACGCTTAATTCATTCTGTCTCCAGCAGTAATGCACCGAGGGAAGGGGAAACTATAGTTTTTTCTTCTTCTCCTTTTATAATATCTTCTGATTCACTTCGTTGCGGGAACCAAGACAGTTAGTTACTCATGTCCCTGGGACGCGCCGGACTTCAGTGTTCCGGTGTTTTCATGGTTGTATCTACTGTAGATCCTGGCTTACAGGAGTTGCAGCGGTTTTGGGAGATTGTGGGGGGCTTGTCCCAAATAAAACAAAATACCGGCAGTCAAGAGGTCAAATGGATTTCTATGGGCAGTGAAATACATAAAGCACACGGCACGTTTGTTCGGGTTGGCTGGGCAACCGGCTGCCGGAATGAGTAGCGGGCTAGATTCCCGCTCGGGACAACACTTTGTGTGATCCACAAATTGTTGTTTCGGGTCTGTGTGTCATTGTGTATTTGTAAACGCATCCAGAACTTTTTTGTTTTTTTTTTAATAAATCTTATAATATAAAGCAGAAGATTTTGTTTTTTTGTTTGTTTGTTTGTTTGAACGCGGCAATCTCCGTAACTACAAGTTTTGAATAATTATTTTTGTGTCGGATAGCGCATTTATCAAGGATGTCATTTATGAGGTCTATAAACGTCGGTCATCACGCTACGACCAATAGGAGCTGAGCAGAGCGTGTAAAACCGCGCGGAAGTAGGTAGTACTTTTAATAAAAAGATAATAACGGGATTTTCACAAGACCTTTTACCTTTTTTTAGTTTGATCTCAGAAGCAATGTGATAAATATATGTTTCTTCCGAAACTGCTCGTTCGATTTGAATATTTCTTTTTGTATTGCATGGTTGTGATCGTGATGTTTTATAGCCTATCACGCTATGATGATTTGTATGATCTGTAGGATGATGTTATAGTAGGCTATAAAACATAACGCTATGACTAATAAGAGCCGAGCAGCGGGTGGAATTTTAATTTAAACACCATTTTGACCTTGCAGAGAGTTCATGGTGAATGCAATGGACGCGGACGAGCTCCGAGAGTCCATGCGTCGCTCCAAGCGATGGACGGGCGAGACCAGACTCGAACTGCCCCCACCACACGCCAAGCTCACTGGAACTCCACAGGACTCGGATGATGACGAGGTAATTTGAACTTTAGTGTGGTTGGTATAAGGTTGAGATTAGTCTGTCATTAAAGTCGGTAATTGATCTTAGTGGTACACCGCAGAACTCTGAGGATGATGAGGTAATTTGAACTTAAGTGTGGTTGGAATAAGGTTGAGATTGGTCTGTCATTAATGTCGGTAATCGATCTTAGTTGTACACCGCAGAACTCTGAGGATGATGAGGTAATTTGGGATTTTTGTTGATGAGTTGATGAAGGAATTTGAACTTTATGGCGTTATAGATGCACAAGTTATTTGGTAAATATTGGCTTTCATGGTTTCAAAACCTGATAAGTACCACTGTGACTTCTTCCAAGTTATATGTACTTTCTAAGATTATTCAGACACCACTGACAAACGGTGAAGGAAAACATCCTGAGAAAAACATGGACTTATAATTTCTAATTATAGGTTTGTTATTGCCAATCCGCCTTGAGCAACGGTGGTGATTAATGCTCAATCGCTAGTCGATCTTCCTGGCACGCTACATTTGGATGTTAGACGCGGATGACCTTTTTTTTTAAGGGGGGAAAATCATCGTAGGTATGACTGCTCCCGCCTGGGTGAGGCGGGAGGGAGTGTTAGTCTCTTACTGACTAAAAACCACCCCGTCCCTTCTCCTGCACGTCGAGCCGGAGCTCTGGTTACCCGTTAAGGGTTAACGTGGCTCTGGCTATATGCAGAAGTAGGAACGGGGTGGTGTTTAGTCAGTAAGAGTCTTAAATTTCTTTTTCGCCTCAGTAAAGATGGGAAGAGACATCCATTTTTTAAATATTCTCAGTAGTAGCACGGAGTATGGAATTGTGCCCGGTATATGGCAATAGGCTCACTCCCTATTACATGGGACTCATAACATAAATAGTGAAAAGTGGGTGTTACATTGTACAGTGGTATAATGTGCACCTCTGCCTACCCCTTCGGGGATAAAAGGCGGGATGTTATGACATTCCATAGTTTGATGATAAAGCTAATATAATATCCCCCAGGTATCAACTCCATCAGGCGACAATACTGAACGCAATCCATTATCCGGTTCATGTGAGTCCCTGGACACGGCGGGGCGGCGCGAGAAATATATCAAGTCTGCCTTCGACAGTCTCAGCGGGGCCGACATGGATGCTACTCTCACTGGGGGTAAGCAGACAACATGTAAGATGCTGACTTTTTGTTTTTATGTTAAGGACGGTAAACGAGCAGATGGGTCACCTGATGGTAAGCATTCAGCGTCGCCCATGGACACCTGGAACACCAGAGGCGTAACAAGTGCGTTACCGACCTTTTTGGGATTAGGAGTGTGAGGATCGTTGGGGATTCAGGGATTGGGGAGATTGGGGAAGGGGAGGGTAATTGGGCCTCCGGTAACCTCACTCACACAACGAAACACAACGCAAGCGTTGCTTCACGTCGGTTTTCTGCTCGGCCGTAGTATCACTCCGGTCGAGCCGGCACATTCGTGCCGAAGCATGGCTCTCCCATACTTACCTCGACCAACGAGCAATCTCTTATTTAGTTTGTTTCTTTTAACTTATTTTAATGTGTTTACCTCGCTCCAGGCAACACGTCCCTGTCGTCCCAGCACCTGTCCCGCGCGCCGCCGGTCCGTCCGTCCCCCGCGCCGCGCACCCCGTCCAAGATGGTGGACCCTGAAGCCGCCAGGAGGAGGGAGGAACTCAATAGGAGGATACTAGAGACTAGAAGGCAACTGGAGAGTGTACGTATCATAATAAATACTTAACTCATACATCCCCAAGAGGTCCCCGGTGACCGCTCTCCACTAACTACATTTTAGACTTTATGTCCAATATTTAGAGACTACTTTTGTATGAACGAATTTAGGGGATGATTTTCAAACGGGTTAAAAAAACTAGAACCAACTTATAATTATACAGGGTGTAACCGGAACTCTCCTGAAACGCTGACAAAGAGAGATTGTTTGTACATAATAAAAAATAATCTTGACTGCCTCGTTAGCCGAGTGGTCCCAAGTGCGACTGCCGGGCAAGGGGTCTCGTGTTCGATTCCAGGGTCGGGAAAAGTATTACTGGGTTTTTAAAAATCTCAGTAGTAGCACGAAGTCTGGAAATGTGCCCGGTATATGGCAATAGGCTCACCCCATATTACATGGGACTCATAACATAAATAGTGAAAAGTGGGTGTTAGATTGTACAGTGGCATAATGTGCTCTGCCTACCCCTTCGGCGATAAAAAGGCGTGATGTTATGTTATGTTGTATGATTATATCATTTTTATTTCTACGCGAAAATCTTAATAAATATGAGGCATAACGTAATTTTTCTCTCAAATTTTATCTTTTTCCATTCTCCCAACAGGTGGCGTTCAGATCGAACTTAAAATCGAGTCAGTCGACCACAGACCTCTCCTACATTCCGGAAAAGGATAGTTCTCGTCGTAATCGTCCTGTCTCCATGGCCATCCCATCCAATTCCAGACCTTACGGTAAGCTGCTTAATTTTGTTAGTATGCTAGTATGTCTTTGAGAGATTGAGCATTCGTGTTCATTTTTCTGAGTATAAAGATGCATCTATTTCAATTATTTTATTGGTAACTAGTTTGCAACTAGTTTTGTAACGCGGCTTAACACACAAACTCAAACACGTAATTGATATTATTCCTAATTCCATAAAACTCCAATAAGAAACATTGCTGTCGCTTATTCTGAAATACTGTCGAACTTAAACGATTTATTATAGCCGTATTTTTAACTATTGGCCCGAAACTTTCTTTTACATTGAACCTTTATGACTTCTGTGACATGCCCCCGAGAAATGTCACGGTTTCAAAACTACACCTTGTATAATACGGCTCTGGATTACCGGTTTAGGTAAAACGGTTGTACCTAAGTTTTCATCTGTTTTTAATTATATTATATTGTTAAAATAGTGAATATATTTTTGTAAAACGAATGCTCAATTTCTCTATAAAATATGGTCAAAGATGTCTTAAGAATGATTTCTTTAAATTAACACGTTCAATGCTTAAATCGTTGTCATTATTAAATAAGGTATTACCTTATTTAATTTTAACATTTAAACTTAATTTTAAATGTGAGTGAGAAAGAAATATATTGCTCTTTCACAAAATCTTTGACCATAAAAACTTTGTGTGACATCACTAACCTGTGACCTCCATAATAATATTTATAAACGCTTTTTCAAATTACCAAAAAAAACTAACCCATCCAATTTCCAACCTCGACAAGTGTTGCTTACTATCAGAAATTCAATGAAAACTCAACCTTATAATACATGAAAATAAAATTAACATTACAAAAGCGTTTATAAATGTACATACATAGCAAAAAATCATCGCTATATATACTAACAAATACAAAATTTTCTTCAACGCTGACCAAGGAATTTTGCCGTGTCCGGAAGAGAACCTGGACAGTCTTAATTCTAATTACTATGACAGTCTGAACCCTTATCTTGATTATAGAAACAAGAACCCTTATGCGATACCAGCTAATTTAAACCATAAGATCATACCAGACTACTTAGATAATGTAGTTCCCTATATACCTCCCCACGCAAACATACCTACAACCCACAACGATAAAAGAAACCCCCATTTCACCCCCTACGACGCAAAACCTTTAGTGTTCAAAGAACAGTTACCTCAAAAACCTCTAGCATTCACCATAGACATGTCCAAACCTGTCCAATCCAAGGTCTTTAACCGTCTGTTCCCAGAAAAAGAGCCAAAGCCCCGAAATTTCACTCTCAATCTAACTAAAAATGAGGAAAAACCAGCTGTTCCGAAATCTGTGAAACCAGCTAGAAGTATCTTCAAAAATTACAAGTCTTGCCCCGTATCTCCAGTGTCCGAGGAATGTAAATGGTCTGACAAAGCGAATCAAAAATGCCAGAAACCTGACACTAACTCCTTAGACCCTAAAAAGAGAAATTCGCTAAGCTTCTTCGTCGGTTTTGATAACAAAAATCTGAAAGATAACGGCAAAAGTATAGTAGATACCATAAAGTCTGATACGGAAAAGATGATTGCAGAAATCACAAAGAAATATGGCGATTTAGACCAGTATGATGTTGCTAGGGGACAGGATGATCTTGATATGAAACCTACTAAAGAAAAAGACGATGGCAATTTCTCATCAGATTCTTTAGAAGACTGTAGTTTGAGCCAAGATGCTAGCTGTAAAAACAAATTATACTCTAAAAAGGTTTGTAAAAAACACACCAAGACTCAACCAAGGAGATCCGTGTCTAATTATGAAATTTACGGCAGTGAAAAGCCTGTAGTACCTGCCAAACCAGCTTACATAGCTAACCAAAAAAGTTCGACTCTACCGCGGAATATGCCGTCAAACCTAGACGATATTGTTGAAGACTCCCTTAAATATAACTCTAATATGTACAGATGTCAAAGTGTTCTAACTAAAAGATGCGTTACAAGGTCAAACGAATCAGTTCTCAGCGATAATTCCAATTGTTCAAGTATTTCGAATGAAATATTCCTAAAATACGGCAATGAAGTTGCTTTCCAACAAGCGAAATTCGATGGTAGTCGGTACAACTTGAATGATTCGCAAAATTGTTCGTACGAAAATATAAACGATACGGAGTATTTAGAGAATCACAGACACAGCAGCGCTAGTTTCTTCTTAAACCAAAAGAAATATATGAAAAATAGTTGTAGTCAGGAATCTGTTTTATCGGACGATTTTCTAGACAACGAGAATCCATTATGTAGAACGAATTGTAATTCATTGGAGAGTGTGCTCTCTGATGATTCAGAATGCACTAAAAGTGCTCCATTGGAAATGTTATTTGAAGGCGCAAAACCGAAGAAACAACAAAAAAATACAAGCATACCCCGAAACAGTAAAAGCTGTTATGAATTTGACAATACTTCCAAAAGTTACGGCTCTAGTCCTAACAACGCTTATTTCGGCTACATGTACAACAATTACTTAGGCGAAGCATCAAGCCCTAATTACAGAGAGCCTAAACCTACTCCAATAATAAGTAATCCAAAACCACCAGCCACCAAAGTATATGGTTTCGACGTCCCAATGGATGGCCATAAAACGGTGACTAGATCCAAAAGCCTATACGATTCAGCTTCCAAACAACCACCTCCAGCTAAGAATATTGCGTATTATTTCGACGGAAATAATATACAGCAGTATAATAAAGAGAAAAAGCTATGCGATGAAATACCAAGGCTCAATAAAACTGATCATATGAGCACTACGAAGTCTCTACAGCCGAAATTCGCTGATAAGTACAAGAGTGAGATGGAAGGCTGTGAAACTAAGGCTATGGTTAAATCTAAAAGCTGCAGTTTTGAGGTAGTCCTAGAACCGGCGTCCAAACCGAATCCTTTAAAGAATTTGATGGAGAAACGAAATTCTCATGTTCAAAAGAACTTGGAGAAATTCGAAGAACAAATACGTAAGAATACGCAAACCAAAGTTAGCAAAAACCAATTAAATAAAGAAAAGTCTAGCGGTAAATATAATAATGCTACCAAAAGCCTTGAAAGAGGGTCCGGACAGAAGAACAATAATACTAAAATTACAATGGAGTTTGTTCCACATAAACCTCCGAAACCGATCAAAAGGACTTCATCAGTTAAGATGAACAACAGACTCAAGGCAGGCATAGAAAAGTCTGGACTAACGTCATCAATATCGTCACAATATAAAGCCAAATTAGACGGACTACATAATAAAAATTATCTAACAAACAAAAAGCCAGAAGATCCGAACTCTAACATAGAAGCAGACAGCACTGAAAAACATTTCGACGTATTCGTAAAAGAAAAAGACGTTAATGAGAATAAATCTGAAATACAGATGGATAGCTTAGAAGTTTACGCTATGCAACGCATGGAGAGACTGAAGCAAGTTAGCATGGACTCGCTAGACGTGGATCCAAACGATTTCGCCAAAGATTCCCTTGACTACTACGCGGAACAAGATAATAAACTATACGCAAGAACTTCTAAAGATCAACTCAATTTAAAACTCGCTAGAAATGACCTTTCAAAACCATCCCATAGCAGACAGAGTGATACAAAAGAAAATATCTCTCCAGAAATCAGCGAAGAAATTAAAAAGTACAAAAATATAGAAAGAAAGATAGAAATCATAAACAAATTAGTCGAAATGGAAGAAAAAAGGATTCTACAAGAGAAGATACTCAAGGAATGGAGAATGAGACCTTTGAAAGCTAACATAAACGATGGGAAAGGCGTAGTCAAGTTATTATCTAGAAAATTCGAAAAACTAGCGACAAAGCAATCATCTACCGTTCACAATTTCGCTTCTTTAACCCTAGAAGAAGCTGATACGGATACAGACACGGCATCAGAAAATAAAGAAATTAAAAGAAACCTAAGTCTACCGGACATTTTAGACTCAGACCAAATCGGTGGCTTAGTTACAGTTGGTATAGATATAACAAACGAAGCTGGTAACACAGGTGCCATAGAAGACGTGAAATTAAACAATGCATTTCAGCCAGAAATAGGCACCGCACCAAGAAGTCTTAAACAGAGAGTGTACAATGAAATGGTAATACCGAAAACCGATGTCCATTTAGACAGTGAAAATTACGAATCTTCGACAACCAGCTCGAGTTGCACGAACTCCCCGAAAAGACTGTCTTTTTACGGCTTCAGTAGACCGAAGACCCCTTTTCGGAAGATTATAAGGGTGCCAACGCCACGGTTGTGTATGGAAAACCGACTTTTTTCTCAGAAAATTAGACCTGTGTTGTATAGCTCGCCTAGGGGTTCTTGTTTAGCGAAAAGGGTTCCGATACAAAATCCAGTTTTGCCGTCAAAATTCTCGCCACCTCCAGGTTTGGGACTGCATGACTGTGATATTTCGATGTCGATATGGTCCCTTTCAGTTGCGGTATTTTTTTTAAAGTGGGTGTAGTTTTTGCATTTTTGTTTGTTTCGTTTTGGATATAGCATTGACTGTATAATTTGTAATGAATGATTATATTGGCAGTGGTTGTTACAAAATTGATTATTATCAGTGTCTGGTACTGTTTTTTGGCCAGACACCGAGGTGTCAGTTTTTAAATTTAAAATAAATAAAATTGATGACAATATTATGCAATCTAAATTTAAATATTATGTATAATTGTAAACTATAGGTTTTGTTCTACTTTGCCACCTTTTTAGATAATCGGTTAAAATGAATAGACTGGTTAATTTACTTACAGATTCAATGCTCCTTCTTAAAACCAAAGAAACAAAAATCCAAAAAAATCACTACTCCACAAGAAAATAAATTGTGATATTTTGTGAATTCGCCCTATAAAAAAATCAATCGGCAATTAATTTGTTATAGTAAATGAGCAATTATTTTAATATATATTTGTATAAGCACGGCTGATTCACGACATATCACTTTTCATCGCTTTTTATGTATTTTTTCAGGTTTTTTTACAGCATGCATGATTAGAGAATTTTTGCTGATATTTTTTATACATTTTGCGTGCATGCATATTTGTGTTTTTATGTTTGTGCGCTTTATTATAGCAATCTGAATGGTATATTCATATATTTGATGATACTTATAATTTCTTAGAGAAAGGGTAGTTGTTATTCCATAATCAATGGTCGTTTTCTATAGTATATTAAGTATAATATATTTACTTATGTAACGTAAAATGGGGTGAATAGGGATCGAGAGGTGAATAGGGACAGGCGAGGGGTGAATAGATATAAGGAAATTCTTCATAGTATCGATTCTCCCCTCTTCTGTCTCTATTCGCCGTTCAAACCCTATTCACGCTATTATACCGTAGGTACTTCCAAAAATTCTACGTTTTATTTACATTAAATTATAGATTTTTAATTCCTAGATAGTAATTGTATTAACACAGTATTAGGTTAGATTTCTATAATTATCAATATGTAACATTGAAACTGGCAATTATAAGAAAAAAGAACAAAATTGAAAAATATTTAGTATTCTACCTTTAGAAAAAACACAAACCATCTAAGTTATTATAAAAAAAAACGTTCAGATCGCTATAACAGCATGTTATATATAAGTAATCGTGTCGCCAGCGAATCGCTCGCAACAGTCGGCTTCCGACCGTGAGGAGGAGGGTTCAGGCATGAGAAGGGCGATCTCCCTATCGGACCTCGCTGCCAAACCCATGCCGGCGCCAAGGACACCACAAGGTGCGTCTGGTGATGGGTTTTTAGCATTGAAACCGGGTTTTAACCATTGACATCGGTGTCTGGCAGGTTTATTATGTGTCTGGGGTCTTTCATTAGAACTAAGAATAGGGTATTTTATCTGTCTGATTTTATTTTAAGTGATTTCCATTCGGCATAATGTCTTTCTGTTCTAATCTTTCCCATCGCCGAAATTTCTGTAATTTTTTGTCTCTTTCTTCTTTCTTCACACAGTCAATCTTTCTTTAGTCTTCTGATCACGTCTATAATGGGGTACTTACCTCATATTCTCTTATAAAACTGATTGATCAAGTTTAAAAAATGTTCTTTTTTATTTTTTTATGGCGTAAGCCGGTAAACGAGCAGACGGATCACCTGATGGTAAGCAGTCGGCGTCGCCCATGGATACCTGGAACACCGGAGGCGTTACAAGTGCGTTACCGGCCTTGGATTAAGAGTGAGGATCGTTGGGAATTCAGGGATTGGGGCGATTGGGGAAGGGGAGGGTAATTGGGCCTCCGGTAACCTCACTCACACGACGGAACACAACGCAAGCGTTGCTTCACGGTTTTTGCTCGGCCGTGGTATCACTCCGGTCGAGCCGGCCCATTCCTGCCGAAGCATGGCTCTCCCACACTTAAGATCTTACCGATATTTCGGCTCTTGCAAGCGTCATAATCTCGTAAACACACGAGGAATCTGTTCTTAGTTCTAATGTTAGTTAAAAAAATGTCCTCGTATAATGAATAATAATAATAATACTGGTTTAATAAATATTGGTGTATGTACAGGTAAATTGGTATCTGGGTTGATTTATTAACTGGTTGGTTTAATGGTGTCTGGGCTTTTTGTTAGCTGTGTCTGGGTGGTAATTTAAAAAAAACTCTATAATTATATAAACTGTGAAATCTATTTCGTTTTCTTTCCGCGGCAAAATTACTTGCCATAAGGAGAACTTTCAATGTATAAAGTTAAAACAAAAAATGAAGTGTCATATTTTTTTAGTTTAAAAAATCTGACTGCCTCGTTGGCCGAGTGGTCGCAAGTGCGACTGCCGGGCTAGGGGTCTTGGGTTCTTAAAAAGTATTACTTGGTTTTTAAGAAATTCTCAGTAGTAGCACGGAGTCTGGAATTGTGCCCGGTATATGGCAATAGGCTCACCCCCTATTACATGGGACTCATGACATAAATAGTGAAAAGTGGGTGTTACATTGTACAGTGCAGCTCTGCCTACCCCTTCGGGGATAAAAGGCGTGATGTTATGTTTAAAAAATCTAATGGAAATACGCACATGAAACACTAGACGTAAAGTTGTAGGCACTATTCGCATCGCACGTGCCATCCGACGAGAAATATCTCTTCGACAATTACATGGCGTGATGTTTTGATAATGTACTATGAGTTCGTATGCGCTTTCGAAGTTTGCTTTTTGCAATGGTTCACCAGTTATTTTTTGTTTTAAACATTTTATTTCTTTGTAAAACTATTGTATTACTGAGACAGAACCATTTTACTTCGGGACGGAAACGAAATAGATTTCACGTTATATTGTTATGGGTAAATACATCACGTGTGATTAAAGTGCACATAATTGTGTTGTATTTTAATTGTAGTCGCCAAATTCTGCACTTTGAGCAAGCGCAGTGATTAATGCTCAAACCTTCACCGTGTGAGAGTAGGCTTGTGGTCAGCACACGTTGGATATTGATGATATCTGGTCTTATTATGTTTTCGGCTCACTCACGTAGTAATTTGACGAGGAGCTCGACTAGTTTTAAGCCATGCTAGAGGCTCATATTCATGAGCAGCATTTCGCGACTCGCGACGCGGCGATTGTCGCGCTGCTACTGTCAAATTATTACGTGAGTAAGCCGAAAACATAATAATTTATTTAGTATGTCTCACGAAAGTTACAACACAAATCTGGTCTTATATAATATAGACTGAATAAGATTTCTTAATTAGCTAAAAATCGCGGGTTACTCACGTGAATATACTGAGAAAAGCTCTACTCAGTAGCCTGCGCGACGTCGTTGCGATTGCTCAAGCCGTTTATGAGAAAGAACCCCTCTATGGTTCGAAACTAGTAGAGCTTTTCTCAGTATATTCACGTGAGTAACCCGCGATGTTTAGTTAATTTAGTATGTCTCACGATAGTTATTTTAAAAAGATTTCTTAACATTAATTAATAAAAGTAATATTGCTAGCGCAGTGCTAATTGATTATAATATTGATTGGTTTCCAAAGTTATACTTTTTTAAATTTAATGGCATGCTTTTTGTATTAATATTTTTTATTTAGATCTATTTATTTATAATCTAGTTTAAAAACTAAAATTATTTAGTAGTATGGCTTTGTACATAATTGTCTTTATTTTTAATTGTAAATAATTGTAGATTAAAATTGTTTTTAAATTTTAACTATTAATTTATTTAGTCTTGATTAGTGAACTTGAAAAGTGATATAGGAACTTGTCGTTTTATACTATATTAAACTAATTTAAATTATTATTAACGTGGGTTCGATTCCTGCATAGAATTTTACTAGGTAATAGTTGACCTAAGTTTTAAAAATACAGATTTTATTGTTTGTATATCCTGGCAAGTACCAATGTGACTTTTTCCGAGTTATATGTACTTTCTAAGATTATTCAGACACCACTGACAAACGGTGAAGGAAAACATCGTGTGGAAACCTCGTGGTGATTAATGCTCAAACTTTCTCCATGTGAGAAGAGGCCTTTGCTTAGCATTGACCATGATGATAATGTCTAACACTCCTGATGATGTACAGGTCAAACCCCGAAGCCTTCGACTCCTCAGAATGGCTCCAGCTCCAAGTCACCTGGAAACTTCGTGAGACCAGCTCCTAGGTATACCAATAAATCCAATATGACCAGAAGTTCCAGTGTTGGTGTGCTGAATCAGGTGAGAATGTGTATAATAAAATTTTGTTTTTTACTAACCACCCGCCCGGCTTCGCACGGGTGCAATAAGCATGTATTATACATATAAACCTTTCTTAAGAATCACTATCTATTAAAAAAAACTACATCAAAATCCGTAGCGTAGTTTTAAAGATCTAAGCATACATAGGGACAGACAGACGGCGTATAGACTTTGTTTTATACTATGTGATATGATTTTGTTTATTTAAAAACTCAACAGCTTAGTAATATAGTTATATGAGTTGGGAATACACATCACACTATCAATGCACAGCCTTATGCAGTTTCATGAAAGAATATATACTAGCTTGCAAAAGTGACATCAACACACGCTGCACAGTGATACCGAGATGATGACAATTTTTGATTGCACGGTTGGCGAGGTGGCTGGGCAACTGGCTGCCGCGCAACGTGTCGCGGGTTCGATTCCCGCACGGAACAATTGTTTGTGTGATGTTATGTGTATGTCAACTCCTATGTTTGTAAACGCACCCACGGCACAGGAGAAAATCCTAATGTGGGGCATTTAATAAAAATATTTTTGTATCTATTACTTTTATATTTTTTGATTTATTTGTGTATTATATTTAATAATGGCCGCAGTTGCCTGAAATAAAGCGACAATAAAATAAAATAACCCAAAATATTGACTCCACAGAGCGACTCAGAATCCGATCCCCAACCCTCGCGGCAGCAACCGAACAGGTCACAAGGGCTCATGAGGCCAACGATATCTTCATTAAACAAGGTCGCCGCCAACACAGCCAGGAGACGTGGCCTCGCCAACGCTTACAGTGCAGGTAACGGAGCTCAACTTATATTGGTCGAGTAGTTTACAAGTAATACGTAGTTAGAAGCACTTTGTACTAAAGTCACTATACTAGTCGCGGAGAACCTAACGGGTAACCGGGGCTCCGGCTCGACGTGCAGGAGAAGGAACGGGGTGGTTGTTAGTCAGTAAGAGTCTGACACTCCCTCCCGCCTCACCCAGGCGGGAGCAGTCATTCGATGATTTTCCCCCCTTAAAAAAAAAGTCACTATACTGGTGAGATTTTTAGCTGTGTATAGATAATTTTCCATTGTGGTCAAAAATATATACATAACTTCACGCCCGTCTCCCATGGAGGTAGGTAATTTTATGGTATATGATTTATATAACTTTACAGTTTATTTTGTAATTCTGATGAAATAATTACTCAATTATATCCCTTATATTTTACAGTCCCTTACCACTTAGTACTATAGGGTTTAAAAAAATTCTTAGTAGTAGCACGGAGTCTGGAATTGTGCCCGGTCGGTATATGGCAGTAGACTCACCCCCTGTTACATGGGACTCATAACATAAATAGTGAAAAGTGGGTGTTACATTGAGTGCCGTAATGTGCACCTCTGCCTACCCCTAGGGGATAAAAGGTGTGTTGTTATGCTACGTAATGTTAAAGATCATGGGCGCCCTTAATTTATTTTGGCGCCCCTCCACTCTATGGGCAGTTTTATTTTTTTAATTTATTTATCATAGTTACAATAAGTACACGATTATCCATTTAAATTAGCAACCAAAATCCACTAAGGTTTACACTTTGCTATCATAAATCAATATCAAAATCGTAAGTTAAGCATAAGCGTAAGCACGCGCGTCTAGCGGCGCCCTCTGTAACCTGGCGCCCGGACTTGATAATGATAATAGGGCTCTGCAAATACTCCAATATAACCCATCACAAAGCACCTCTCAATTAACTCACGTAATAACAGTGAGCCTTGCGACGGGCGCTCACGAGGAGTCCAGCTCGGAGGCCGAGGACAGGAACAATGGAGACGGCACCGCTCCACCAAGACCCAGGGCCTCCTCCGTTGACCACAACCAGAGGAGAATAGGTGAGTGACCAATTCAAAAACAGTTTTTCACGATTTAAATGTTTATCTCTTATATATGTTTATCTCTTCAATTGGGCACTTTATTTATTTATTTATTTATTTCTTCTTCACAAAATACAGTGAATGGCGGACTTAATGCCTTAAGGCATTCTCTTACAGTCAACCATAGGGAAGTGCAGAGAAATAAAGTGGTTGATGCGAAGCCAAACAACAATAAAAAAAAGAGTTATGTAATATGTATACTACACACATAAATACCTATAGAATAAATATATTGATACAATATTTTATAAATAGACATATACATACCATATAATATATACTACTAAACAAATACTTATACTGCATAAATACTACAATATATTATATAAAAAAAGAGAACGTTGTTAGAATAGTTTCCTCAATTGTTTTAAGTCTGCCAAAGCTTAAGTAGTTGCTCACGGACTTTAAATTTAAAGGTATTGCGACTTGTTGCCATTCTGATCTCTTTACTTAATAAAAAATAAATTATTTCGATTGTAATTAAGCAATCGATCAGCCCGTACCGATTTTGATGCGGTTTTCAAAAAAATTGTGTGTTTGTTAGGTACACTTAGGAGACTGGAGAAGGTATATCCTTACTTCCTTACTAATATTATAAATCTGAAAGTGAGTTTGTTTGTTTGTTTGTTTGTTCCACCTTCACGCTGTAACTACTCAACCGATTGCTTTGAATTTTTGCAGACGTAAAGTTAGAAGTTTGGATTAAATAATAGGGTACTTTTTATCCCGAAAAAATTGATATTCCCGAGGGAAAACAAAAGTATTGGTATAGATGGCGCTGTATGTATTGGTATATGTCACATAGACTACTTTTTATTCTTTTGTGACGCGAGCGATGCCGCGGGTAAAAGCTAGTTAATTAATAAATCGACTTAAAAAACGAGGATGTTGAAGGCGGTTTTTTTAAAAATAGTTTATAAAAGATTATTCTTGCTTTCTATTTGTTTGAATGATGTATGTAATGTAATGTACGTGTTCCAGGTCGCAGCGGCAGTGAACGAGACCTTTCAGCGAAGGCTCGCGAGGTTACAGCCAGACTCACAGCGAACACAAGGCAGAGACCGAAACAGGAACCGCCTGCTGAAGCCAACTGTAAGTTATAATATTATACATATATATATTTATTGGATAAACCTATAAACGAGCAGACGGATCATCTGATTATAAGCCATCAAAGCAGCTCATTGACACCTGGAACATTAGAAGGCGTTAGAAAAGCCGCCTTTTAGGGATTAGGAATTTGAAGATTGTTGGGGTTCAGGGATTGGGGAGATTGAGGAGGGGGGGGGGGGTAAGTGCCTCCGGTAACCTCTCTCACATCGTGTGAGTAGAGTAGTAGAGCTTTTCTCAGTATATTCACGTGAGTAACCCGCGATTTTTAGTTAATTTATTATGTCTCACCATCCTTACTAATATTATAAATCGGAAAGTGAGTTTGTTTGTTTGTTCCGCCTTCACGCCGTAACTACTTATTGTTGATTTTTTTGAAATTGTTGTTGAATTGATTGCTTTGAATTTTTATAAACGTGAAGTTAGAAGTCTGGATTAAATAATAGGGTACTTTTTATCCCGGAAAAATGTGATATTCCCGAGGGAAAACCAAAGTATTGGTATAGAGTGCGCTGTGTGTAATGGTATATGTCACATAGGCTACTTTTTATCATTTTGTGACGCGAGCGAAGCCGCGGGTAAAATCTAGTAGCTATTATAAAAACAAAACATACGAATGTACATCGATACATTTTGACATTTAAAAAATTCACTATAGTCTTTAGCAAATGAATTAGTGATGCCAAATTCTATACTCGTGGTTAAATCTAAACGAAACTACTAGAAACAATAATGAATATGTCGTTTGTTCCAGTGACATCGTCCCAGCTGTGCTCTGCGCTGACGGAGCAACTGACGAAGACTGCCAGTAAGGTGGTGCAGCTGTACGCCAGCCTGCAGCGGGAACCCAACGCTGCAGCCGACATCAGCGGTGAGACACCCTCACTATACATACACTGCGAAGTCAAGTGCGACTGCCGGGCAAGGGGTCTCGGATTCCCGGGTCGGGAAAGGCATTACTGGGTTTTTTTATAAAATTCACAGTAGTAGCCGCCCATGGACACCCGGAAGCGTTACAAGTGCGTTACAAGTGCGTTACCGGCCTTTTGGGGATTAGGAATTTGAGGAATGTTGAGAATTCAGGGATTGGGGAGATGGGGAAGGGGGGGGAAGTAAATGAGTATCCAGTAACCTCACTCACATGACGAAACACAACGCTGTGGTTGTTTCACGTCGGTGTCCTGCTCGGCCGTGGTATTACTCCGGTTAAGCCGAACCAGCAATGCCGAAGCATGACTCTCCCACGTTTAACCCCTCGAGCGTCCTTATGAGCACCCGGTGGATCATAAGAAAAAATGCTCCATGCTGCTTTCTCCTTTATAAAATCTATTATTAATGTTTTGTTTTTATTTTGACTGTATTTGTTTTATTTCTATTGTAATGATCCTTGTTTTCGTGTGCCAATGGCCAAATAAATGCATTTTCTTGCATGCATAAGGATAAGAAAATGCACGCATTGCATGATAAGGAACGCGGACGCTCGACGGGTTAAAACATGACAACGACAGTTCACTGTCATGTTCGTACTTCATACTTAATATAACAAGTATTTTCCCACACAGGTCTTGAAGCAGCAATTCTAGAGACTCAGAAAGTGTTGCGTAGCGCGGTCAGCCGGGCACAGAACGGAGACCAAGCACTCAGCAGCCTGTCCTCTACTGACGGGGACTATAGACTACAGCCACCTCTAGACCATCTCGTTGCTAAAGGTAAACAAGTAATACATTAACTAAAAATCGCGGGTTAATCACGTGAATATACTGAGAAAAGCTCTACTAGTTTCGAACCACAGAGGGGTTCTTCCTCATGAGCAGCGTGCGCGACATCGAAATTCCAATTTTGACTCAAACGAACAGGGCAGACCCGTTTATAAGGGGGAAAATTATCCATTGCATAAACTTACCAGCTGTAAAAGTATAAAATATCTTTAAGATATGGTTTTACAGGACTTTTATAAAAAAAAAACAACGGAATAACCGTCTTGGTGTTTGAACCGTGCCAAGGGTTGAAGGCTCGATTCCTGAGTCAATATTATTATGTTATCTTATACTATTATATAAAGCGGAAGAATTTGTTTTTTTGTTTGTTTGTTTGAACGCGCTAATCTCCGTAACTACAAGTCTGATTTCAATAATTATTTTTGTATTGGTTAGCGCATTTATCGAGGGTGGCTATAGGCTATAAAACATCACGCTACGACCAATAGGAGCTGAACGGAGCGTGTGAAACCGCGCGGAAGTAGCTAGTTTAAACATAAAATCATTTCTGAAATCAATAATAATATTAACCTTTACAAGTACCAAAAAACTAACTTCAAAATCGTTATTCACAGACGCAGCGAACTCCAGCAACCCAGCCATGTCGCTCATAGAACAATATTCAGACATCCTACTAAATATGATGCAGACGAAAATGGTCAGCCAATTCAACCAGCCACAGAGCCTACCGCCAAACACGAGGGATCCCGCGGGAGAAAGCTAGTGAAAAACCCAAGTGTAGTGACTAAAAACTGTGAAAATGTGACTTTTTCGTGTGAACTCAAGTGTTAAAACTGTGTGATGAAGTGTGAAGTGTGATTTAACTGTGGATTGTCGGAGGTGGGTGTATTTTTGATGTCTTAGTTTAAAAACATTCGATGTGTGTTTAACCAGAGCCGTATTATACCTAAGGCAGAGTAGGCAAGTACCGGGCGCCAGGTTACAGAGGGCGCCGCGATACGCGCGTGCTCTACTGTACATAGAGTGACGGGGGCGCCAGAAGAAATTAAGGGCGCCAATGAGGTGCTCGCCTAGGGCGCTCTCTTGGTTTTATTCCGCCCCTGTGTTTTTTTGTTTGTTTCCCTTTTGAGACAAAAACCAAGCAATGATATTACTTAAATACTACAGTTAAATCACATTTCTAAATAAAAGTTGATGTTAACTTAACTAAATTAAATAAAAAGTTAAAAATGTTAACTTTGACCTCTAGTTACGGGGTAATTTTTAACCAAAATATTGTTAAAACTACTTAATATTAATAAAATTGTAAGTCAGACATCGATCATTAATAGTTCTGTCCATATAATGATATTAATCGAGTTGTCGATTCGATAAAAATAACGAGTATAAATAATAAGACAAGTTTTTTGAAAAAAAGTGATATTTAAGTATATTGTAATGTGTTAAAATGTTTATTTATGGTACTTTAGAATTTCTATACACAGCAGCTCATGTAGTGTAGATGTCCAGACAACAAGGATGTAGCGAGGTTGACTGTCCAGGCGACACACGTACTTAGGTATCGTCATGAGCTAATGTTCACATGTAAACTATCTTTTACCGCATTTGCTGAGCGAAAATAAACTTTATTTCCATCAATGTAAAGATTTCTATAGTACCATATGTTACTATTACAGAAAACATCGTAAATTCACACGTGAGAATGTAAATAACGATTTTTAAAAATTAATTAATAATTAATTAGGTACATTTGTCAATTTGTATCTTTAGATGTCCAAGAAAAGTCGTTAAAATATAAAATAATCGAGAATGCTGCCATTGATATTAAGATCAGCGCTATCTATGTTCTGTCAAACGAACTATTGGTGCAGAAAATTGGATTTTACAACAATTATTCGTCTATTTATTGAAATTTTTGTGCCCACGCGCTTATATGTTTTGTATTTATGACTATTTTTATATTAGCATTCCGCCCAAAGCTTCATCTGGTTCTGAAAGTCCATATCCTAATCTATATATATGCCAAATTGTATCTCAATCCGTTCAGTAGTTTTTACGTTAAACACAAATCCTCAAACTTTATCGTTTCGAAATATTAAAAAACTATTTCTTTGAAACATACCTATTCATTGAAAGGAAATACTTCAAAATAAATCATTCTATATGTTCTTCTTACATTTTCTCCTATCAGGCGTCATCACATCACAAAATCTTTGCTCTTTAGCATCAGGCCTTAAAATATATTTCTTAACTACATAGATTCTGTCAGCGATTTCGCCCGCGTTCTCGTGGGTTAAAAGTAGTCTCTGTATGACCAGATCATAATTTACTCCTGTTACAAATTTCAATCCGATCTGCCCCAACGGTCATCGGTTCTTTGACAAATGTGACCGGTCCACACAGAGCCGTACTATCCCTAAGGCAAACTAAGCAAGTGCCGGGCGCCAGTTTACCGAGGGGCACCTTTTGATCATAGAGTGACGGCGGTGCCAAAAAACATTAGGGGCGCCAATGAGATGTTTGTATTATAACTTTCATGGGTCATACTAAATACATTATGTTTTTGGCTTACTCACGTAATTATTTGATGAGGAACTCGACTAGGTGCTCGTCAAATAATTACGTGAGTAAGCCGAAAACATAATAATTTGCCTATGAGATGCTTGCTTAGGGCGCTCATTAGGTTTAATCCGCCCCTGGGCCCACTACCCTTCCAAATTATTCCATTTAAATATTTGATTCTTTTTTTGATGGCCGGGAGCCAACCTGACCGGGGCGCCTAGGTTTTTAGGGAGAAAGACTAGGGAGTCACGCTACGGTGCAGCGCTTGTTACAGCACATCCCTATAGATCTATCATCTCTGTCAGACCTAATCATTCATACTTCACAGTTTTACAAGGAGTATTGTTGACAGAACTTTTTTTCATGAAAAAAGTATCTAGTTGAATACTGCTTTGTATATAAATAAGCCAAATTTTTGAAATCATTAATATCTGACATCGTGCCCCTTTTAAGGGAAATTTTCCATTATTATCTTATTGCATTTAATTTAATCATTCCAAATATTAGTTAATTTATTAATAATATACATTATTTGAAAATAAATTGGATATAAAATTACCAATATAGTAGTTTGTATCGTATGAAATTCCAAGTATATGGCATTAGACTCACCCCCTATTACATGGTACTCATAACATAAATAGTGAACAATGTCTGAGTGGTATATAGCATATGTGTATCTTTACCTATTATGTTTAGTATACTTACGTTTATGTATCCAACTACTGACCTCGACGCTTCAATTCTGTCTCCTATTCCATTTATACTGAATAAATCCTCCCGATCTGTTTCGATCATGGTGGCTCACTACGCAAGAGATATTACTGTGCACAAATGTGTGCACAAACACAAGCACACTCTCTGTTCCCTCACTCTCATTTGCTCTATTTGTGTAGGATATCTATTTTATTTCCAAATAAAAGTTGTAGGACTGAAAATAATATCATTCCTTAAATAATCTAAATAAACTATAACTACAACAGATATATCTAAAACTACTTTTTTTGAAGCTAAATTCCTTCTGATACGTCCCTGATAGATTATTCTGGCAGTTAAAACACTATGTTTCCATCTAAATTAAGTAAAAGTGTAAATGTACCGATTATGTCACAAAATAATAGTTTAATGCAAGTAATTGTTATTGTAACTATTTTAATAAGCGAAATTAAATCAACGATAAAAGTATTGTTATTGTAGATTTGTGGAATTTTCAGTTATTTTTATGAAATCTGAATTTGCTATCACATCAACAGCTTATAAGTGGCCATTGCCGACCAAAGGCCTCTTCTCACACGGAGAAGGTTTGAGCATTAATCACCACGCTTGCTTATCCTCTTGTCTGTTGAAAGTTGCGGGTATAATGAGTTTTATACCGGGAACCGGTGTTTCAACAGATAAAAGGCTAATGCACCCGCATTTCAAACTTATAATTAGAAATTATAAGCCCAGATTTCCTCACGATGTTTTCCTTCACCGTTTGTCAGTGGTGTCTAAATAACCTTAGAAATTACATGTAACTCGGGGAAGTCACCTCTACCTATCCTCAACACGATCTTGTAACAATAGGGTAGATGCCTAATTTTTATTTTAATGTCCGTCTGGTAGATTATTTTACATCATTAGACTCGTATTTTTTATTTTCTTACTGAAACGAATATTGATTTGAAATGTCGCGTGACGTCACTTCTATGTACATATTATACGTAGAAATAACGTTTTAGCCCCCACTCCTAAACTTTGATTCGTTTTATCTAAGTATTGTTTTATTATACGACAAAATAAAAAATACGTGTTTAATATTTTTTCATTACCTAACTTACGGACTAATTAATTACATTTTTAATTTTCATACCCTGTCATCATCCCAATTGTTTGCAAGCGCTCAATGTTTGTTGTGATTACCTGGGTGTCTTCAAGTCCCGAGTGAATAGGTTGCATATGTAGACGTGCTCCATCGTAGACCGCATCATCGCTTACCACCAGACGAGATAGTGAACAAACATAGACTAATTTTCAATTAAAAAAATTTGCTTATTAAAATAGTTATACTGAATAAAAAATCTAAAATGTAATGTTACGCTTAAAAATTGTGAATGAATTATCACAATATTCGTTATCATGTATTTTATGTTGCTTTTGTATGAGAATAAATATCACTATTATGTTTTTATTTAAGCGTGTGGTTCTTCAAAAACTATGATTTATTTCATCAACTCTGACAATCTATTGCTGGGTTATAGACTTTGTTAACACGTGTTCCCTAATCTCCACACTTGGGTAATCGGGTTGGAGATGGCTTGGCATCATTATAATTGAGCATTGTTTACAGTAGTGGGTTTGTAATTTTGTATCTCCACACTTGATGATCAAGTTAGAGATTGCTTAGTATCTTAGTTACTCAGATTGGATCATTTTGACCACCTATGTGGTTAATATTTGATCTCAACACTTGGCTATCGGGTTGGAGATTGTTTAACATCGTAATAACTGATGTTGGAAACAAATACGAGTACATGTTTTTTAAGAATCACCATTTTAATGTAAAATATACAAATCTTTATGAATCCTACGACTCATTGATGTCCAAAGAAATAATGTGTATTTGTATTAAATTGATCGAATTTCAGCTAATTTTTTAGTTCAAATGTCTAAGTCTCTAAGCAACGGGCCGGTTCCGGGTCTATCAAAGTGTTATTACATTTTCGAAATGGTTAATAATAATATGGTATCCAGTATGTTGCCCGATTATAGGAGATCTTTGGCGAAAATAATTTGTAATATTATGTCAAGGCATCTGCCTGTCTCTTACATGAAAAGGCGTGAAGTTATATTAAATTTATCCTCAACACACAGATATTTGGCGTCATCAACTTTGTAGCTAATTCGATCAATTCAAAGATCGCAGTCGCTTATAAAAAATATCGTGTTTTGTAAATAAATTAAATGTATGACTCAATTTTTGTTAAAAATGTATGTAGTACCAATATAATAGGTAAAACCGGCGTTGATTGTCTATAATACACAACTTAACTAACGTAATATAAATCCATAATCCCCAATCTCCCAAATACCCCATCCTCCATCCCCCCTCCCCCACCCCCAAACCCCTCAATAAAGTCTCTAATATTCTTTAAGAAGTTACCTTCGCGATTATTCGCTGAAATTAATAACTGGTTCTAATCCAAAATCTCTGTATCGATATCTGTTTTTAACAGAAACTCTAGATAACTAATTTTTTTTAATGGCACAAGCTCGGCACCATCCCCAAACCGCTGCAACTCCTGTAAGCCAGGATCTACAGTAGATACAACCATGAAAACACCGGAACACTGAAATCCAACGTCCCAGGGACATGAATAACTGTCTTGGTTCCCGCAACGAAATGAATCAGAAGATATTATAAGAGGAGAGAAGTAGATATACAACTATCGAAAATCGATCATAGTCCATAGTATTTTAGATAGTTCGCTTATATAACATCGGTCGTTAGACAATCAGCCCCGGTTTTCTCTATTCCTTATTGAATAATTCAATTTAATTTGCCATGTATGTAAAAAAACTAATTTTAATATCCTTATGTACTAGATAATATAATAATTCCTAA